ATTGACAATATTCTTTGAGTACGTTAAGTGTTTGAGATTTTTGTATATTTACTTGTGATGGTAATATGGTTATTGAGACGCCCGCTTCACAGTCGGTAACTACGTCTTTGGTATGATTAAGTTGTCTCTTGACTATGTATGGTAAGGACTTTGTTATGGAACTAGAGTAGATTGTTATCCCCTGTTGGAGAGGATGAGAGTTTCTTTCCCATGGAAGAGTTGGAGAAACTTCTAGTGGACGGGACTCGAGTGTTTAATTTGGCTGCATCAGTGTCAGCAGAGGGTAAGGTTGAACTGGACGTGTTTCCAGTGGTGCGTGACTTCCCAAAAGTATTTCCGAAAGGTTTTGAGGATGTACCGCCGAAGAGAGGAGTTGGATTGAATTCCGTTGATTTGATGGTGAATGAGAATGAAGACTTTAAGATGATGATGTTGGATGAAAGTTTGTATCCGAGATTCAAGCTCATTGGGGTAGAATGACTAGCATGTCATTCCTGATGAGGTATAAGTGTTAGGGTTGTGTTCGCTAGGGTAGAATGACTATGTGTCGTTCCTAGTGAAGAGATCGCCGGGGTAGAACAACCGTGATGTTGTTCCTGGTGGAGGGTATGCGGTGTGCCTGTAACCTCCAATGGAGATTGACGTGGATTGACGATCTTATTTGAGTCATGCGGTATGACTATGATTGTGGTATAGAAGTATGCGTGTAAGAGATCATGTGTAACTTGGAAAATGGAGAGAGGGCGTGAAAGTCGTGTCCGGTATGGTTTGAACCAGGTGATATTTTCGAGGACGAAAATTCCTAAGTGGGGGAGAGTTGTAACGCCCCGATTTCGACTATTCCTTTTTCGTTGAGTCCTTTTTGGTTTAATTGGGCGAATATTATTTGAATGTGGAAATTGTGTGGAAATATGTTAAGTTTGCATATTATTCTATTTTAACCGATTTTGGGAGTTTTCAGACAAAATAGTTTGGAGGGTATTTTGGACATTTCCTATTTAATGTTAAGTGAGATATTTTATGAGATATGGAATTAGTTGATGTTTTGGAAAATAATGAGAAAGATATTAAAGAGGAAATAAAAGAGAAAGAAAGATAGTAACATAAGAAGAAAAACAAGAGAAAGAAAAGAGGAGAAGAGAAAGAGAAGAGAAAGTGGAGAGGAAAACCTAGAATCATCAAGGGATCATCACCAAAGCTTGCAATCTATCGGTAAGGGTGTGAAACTCCATCATCTCTTTAATGTGTATGATTGTATGTGTATGTGTTTGGATTTTGTAGAGTTTCTACTCTTTTTCCCACTTAGGTTAGAAGTTGGTTTTGTGAGTAGAATGAGGTTTTAATCGGTTAGAACTCGGATTAGACGATGTAGTTTAGTCGGGTGATGGTAGGGTTGTGCCACTGAGACTGGTTTGGATTTAATCGGTTGATTTTGTGGAGTTTGGGCTCTTGAGACAGCCATGGAGGTTCTGTCTTCGCAGGCTCGCCAGGCGAATGGTAGCGAAGCTTCGCCAGGCGAAGCCCAGCGAGCTGTAGCGAAGCAAGTCAGAAGCTAACACCTTGTCTTCGCTGGCAAGTTCGCCAGGCGAATGAGAGTGGCGAAGGTTTGCCAGGCGAGTATGCTAGCGAGTGCTAGCGAGTAATTCCAGAATAAATCCCAGTGGTCTTCGCTGGCAAGTTCTCCAGGCGAACGAAGTAGCGAAGGTTCGCCAGAGGCTTCGCCAGGCGAAGGTTAGCGAACACAGCAGCATATTTTTTTCTTTCTTGTGTTTTCCATTCGTGGATTGGTTGTGTGGTTTGGTTGCGATCATTCCTTGTTTGAGATGATTAATTATATGTTGTTATGTGTGTTGTGGGTAGCCGTATGGCGTGAATCCTAGTTTATGAATTGTGAAGTGTGGAATGTGGCCGTTTGGTATTTTGGTGCATTACTTGAATGTAATAGAAATGCATGATGAGATTATATGATGACTGTATGTATGTATTGTGATATGTATATATAGTGGATGCATAATGAACATATGCAATGAATGTGAAGAATGCATGAGCATGTTCGCAAACGTGGTTGCATTTCAAGAAATGTATGAAGTACATTCTTGTGCTGTTGACTCTTAGGAGAGTCTGATGAGTGGTGTGATTCCTAGGAGAATCTGATGAACGGATTGATTCCTCGGAGAATCTGATGAAAGATGCGATTCCTCGGAGAATCTGTTAAATGACTTGATTCCTCGGAGAATCTGATGAACGGTGTGATTCCTCGGAGAATCTGATGAACGGTGTGATTCCTCAGAGAATCTGATGAACAGTGTGATTCCTTGGAGAATCTGATGAACGGTGTGATTCCTCGGAGAATCTGATGAATGGTGTGATTCCTAGGAGAGTCTGATGAGTGATGTGATTTCTAGGAAGATCTAATGAGTTATAGGATACCCATGAGGGGTGGGAGTGAATTGATTCTTAGGAGAATTTGACGGACGATTAAGTCGATAATGTGTTGCATTCGCGTAGAGTAGCGAGTTGGCCTCTATGATTTGCGTGTTGACATCTGTGCATGATGTATGGCGAAATAAGCATGTTGTGTATGTTTATTAGAATAATGTGAAAGGTGTGAATGACATAATGAAATGCTTGAAGATATATATATATATATATATATATATATATATATATATATATATATATATATATATATATATATATATATATATATATATATATATATATATATATATATATATATATATATATGTATATATATATATGTATGAATGAATATATGTATATATGTATATGTGTGTAACATGTATGAATGTTCCTGAATGGATATAAACCTTAATGATGCATATTATTTATGCTTGATGTTCTATTTGTAAATAGACTTTAGTGGATACATTGCGATGTACGATGTGAGTCATGGTGAGAAAGCGTAAGATGCATGGTTGTGGATATGATATATATATATATATATATATATATATATATATATATATATATATATATATATATATATATATATATATATATATATATATATATATATATATATATATATATATATATATATATATATATATATATATATATATATATATATATGTATGTATATATGCCTTTATGCATTATTTGTTATGATATTGTTTCTCACCCTTTTGCTGTTTTATAATGCTCTATGAGGCATTGCAGATTAGATTACTGGAGATCTTTTGTGAGGCGTGGCTTCATCCTTTAGTTGGTCGGCTCTGATATGTAGCACCGGGTAGCTAGGAGTTGTTTTGTTTCTTTTGTGATGCATGTGTATATGTATCTGCTGATGAAAGTTATGTAACCATGTTGGTTGATGATTTGTATATATGAATACATGCGTTAGAGAATTATGAAATATTTGGATGTTCCGCCTTTGTTCTAGATATTTTCTCGTGGGTGTTACCCCGTTGTTGCATATCATTATATATGAGCAAGTGTTTTATATGTGTGATTTTCGGATAATGTGGCATGTCCCTTTTATACCGTTTTATAAACTTACTCTGATGAAATTTTGAATTTGTGCCTAAATAATTAATTGTATTATTTGGGGGTATAGAAAGGGGGTGTTACAAAGATGATGTTGATCCAACACTTTACCGGAGTTTGATTGGATCATTACGGTATTTGTGCAATACTCAACCAGATTTGGCTTTTAGTGTCAGTATTGCGAGTAGATTCATGGAGAGACCTAAGGTGTCTCACTTGGTAACGGTCAAGAGAATCCTTAGATATGTGAAAGGCACTCTTGGTTGCGGGATTCTTTTTGCCGCATTGGATATGGGTCGCAAATGTACTTTACTTGGCTACACCGATTCTAATTGGTGTGGAGATAAAGATGATCGAAAATCGACGACGGGTTACATCTTTATGTTCGGTAGTACATCAATCTCATGGTGTTCGAAGAAGGAACCGGTTGTAGCACTCTCTTCTTGTGAGGTCGAGTACATTGCGGCGTCGTTGAGTGCGTGCCAAACTATGTGGCTTGTGAATCTTATGAAGGAATTGGGATGTGGTGATGATGATGTTACCACACTGTTTGTGGATAATGTTTCCGCGATAAATCTTGCGAAGAATCCGATTGCACACGGAAGGAGCAAGCATATTGAGATGCGGTTTCATTACTTGAGAGAATTGGTCGGTGATGGAAAGCTTAAATTGAGCTATTACTGAGGTGAGGACCAAGTTGCGGATTTGTTGACAAAGGGTGTGACAAATGAGGTGTTCAAGAGACTGTTGAAGAGCTTGAGCATGATAAATTTGGAGCAACTAAAGTGATGTGGTGTGTTGAAAGCCGTTAAATTCTGGTTTTTTCCTGAATTTAACAGCATGACCACTTTAGTTGGCTTTTGTTTTTTTTGGATTATTCTCTCAAGTGTATAAATACATTTTGTAATTTCCAATTCCAATTAATGCCAATTTTAATTCATCCAATAATACTCTCTACCCTAATTCTTTTTCTCTCTCAATTTCATCTTTTTCTTCAATTTTTTCCCACCATTGTTACTACCTTCAATCTCTGTTTTTGTATGTTGTTCTAACAAAAATGAGAAGAAAAAAAAAGAGAAAAAGAAAATTATAACAACTTAGTGTGGGCGGTAATTTGCGTTTAATTGTGAATCAACTAAAATTTTTAAAAATGACAACATGAAATTTTCCAATATAATTGATCAATCAAGAAAAGAGACTTATATCAAACAATTAATAATAAATATAGATTGATAAATTCTTTAGCCACCACAAAATATTAATTATAGTACCATCAATAAATTAGTAGTTAGCATCACTTCATTTAATATATCGAATCATCTATCAAATTGTTTAAATATAGACTATTTTGGAAAAGTTTTATGGAATTAAAGGTAGTATATTAACAGAATAAAATAGTTTTTATACTATCCACTAGTAGAATTATAATATTCAATAATATAATATCAGTGTTTTAAAGTCAAACATATAATTTTAAAAGATACACATCTCTAATTGATTAATAATATAAAAATATATTTTATTCGTGCATATTCTTTTTTTTCCCTGTACAAAAAAAATATAAGATCGATTAATCAATTAGTGTTACTTTATTTTAACTATAGATAAAAAAGACAACATACCAATGATGAAAGGCATGGTGATAAGACCCCCTTTCTGCCTTTGTGGTTTGTGGTTGTGAAATGAGCTGAGATTCCATTTCATGAGCACCACCAGAACTTTCAACTTCCTTATCCATTTTCCGATTGGTATCATTATTATCAGGATCTTCATTATCCAATGGAAGATAGAAAGACATAGAAAAGATGAAGTATTAGCAATGTTGATGCAGATTACTAGATTCAAGTTATAGTGTCACTGCTTGTGAATTGCAACTTTTTGGACAACCACTTTGTCTGTTTAGAAAGTGTGAGTCACTGCATATCTAGAATCCAGTCCTTTAAATGGAGTAGTTTGAAAACCAAACGATTTGTTAAAAATAGAAAACAATCAATCATTGTATAGATAATATTTCTTTCACCACATTTCTTGGTTGACATTAAAAAAAAAAATTAATATCTTAGTCGACATATTGAAATCTCTGCTTTTCGTCCAAAGTGAAAAATATCTTTGTCGACAATATTTTTGTATTTTAAATTAGTTTTCAATTTAAAATATCAATTATCAAATATGAATTTACTATTCTAAGAGGTTCTAAAATGTAAAGGCAGTGTAAATTATGGATATTGTATTTTAGTTATTAGACGGTGTCATATTTCAAATTTTACTTTTAGATATTATGATCTTTTGCCTATTATTTTAAATTATTCGTTTCTGCATTTACAGTTCGTAGTCTATTGGTCAATAATCATGTTTTCGTTTTGTTTAATTTAATTTACTTAATGTCATCTTGATTCTTGTCTGTTTTTGTTCCGCTTAGATTTTTTATCTCTTTTTTTTTTTTAAATTCAATTCTTTAGGCATAATCTTTACATTTAATCTTATTTTAGAGTTTTTAGAACACTATATTTGTTTTAATTTAGAAATTTTATTTATTTTCAATTTCATTTTATTTGAATATATTTTCTTTTTAAATTTTTTTTATCAAATTAATACAAACTCAAAATTATTTTTGTTAATATATTTTTTTCTTTCAAATTATTTCTTTTATTTTATAGAGTTCAAAATCTAACATTTAAATTAATACATTGAAGCCCAAGTTCTAATGTTCTTTTATTTTTGTTATTTTTTATTATTTATTTATTATTTATTTATTATTCATTATTATTATTATTATTATTATTATTATTATTATTATTATTATTTTTGTTATTTATTATGTATTTATTATTATTATTATTATTATTATTATTATTATTATTATTATTATTTCTTTCATTATTATTACAAAGCCTAAAATAAGTCCATTACAAACTTTGACAAAAAATACAAAAGTAAAAAAGAGAAAGAGTCTTCTGCTTCCTACTGAAACCGTATCAATGTCCTACACCCTAACATCCAACTTTGCAACTTCACCATCATCACATACATCAGACACTTTCACAACATGTCAAACCACCCTGCGCTATACACTTTTGCGCACAATATGACAAACTGGCATGCTGCTGCACTCCAACAAAAAACTCCAAAACAAATTACTGCTACACATCCGCAACACCCTGCTGCAAGCCATAATTCAGCAACATTTGAAAGTAACAACACGAGGAACAACATACAAAATTCAAGAAAAAGAGTTTGATTGTTTTAAGTTGAAAGGAAGAAGAACATAACGGGAAAAGAGGGGGAGGGAGTTCTAAGAGATTTCAAGAAGAAACTCACCACTGTTTTTCTTTCATCATCAAACATCACCTTCAAAAAAATCTTACAACCTACCTTCCTCACTCCCTCCACCTCCAACCGTCACTATTTCTGACTTCGAATCTCATCTCCCTTCCTCCCGTTACTCAAATCTTCATCACCCAACATCCATAAATCATCTGCAAGTCTTCTCCACTTCCTCGTTTCACCTTCAAATCCCCATTAGAAAAACAATAACACATCTATGAGTGAGATTAGAAGAGAAATAAAATTGGAAAGAGAAGGAGATTATGTGGAGAAATGGAAACAAACATCTTGAAACCATTACTCTTGATTGATGAATAACTCTCACGAAAACTCTCTCCTTTCCACCTATGACCAACTTTTTTTTCCGATTCATCTTTTTACCCTAAAACTCAATCTCTCTTTTGAAAAAAACGGGAAGAACGATTTGAAACCTTCATCTTCTTTGTCCGCTAATTTTTTATATACAAATTTTTCCTCTTTTTCATGAATGCGTTTCACCCAGCTACTATGAAATCATCCCCATCGTTTCACGCCAACAGTCTCCTTCAATTTCAACATAGCAACACGAATTCATCAAAACCATCCCTAACTTCCATTCACCATGTTCGTTTCACCCTTTCACCAAGTTACAACAACAGTAACAACATAACTGTTACAAACTTGTTAGGCACACCATCGAGTTTCAAAGACGGCGACAAAATTTGTTCACGACAACATGTTTGCATCATACCATTTTAAAACTTCGAAGTTTCTTTAGACAACATCAAACAACGATCATCATCGTCTTGTAACTCACTTTCGTCGAAGCAGAGATATTAGTGAGTGCGAGAGGAAACACGGTTAAAGCTTGAGTCGGATTGAGAGTGATTTGGTTTGGTGCGTGCTCTTCTTCGCCGTGTTTACTTTTTTTCATTCCAATTTCTGAGCATTTGCCTTGTTTAGCAGTCGTTTATAGTAATTTGATTTCCTAGGTTTCAATTGAAAAAGCATTCCAGCCGGGTTTGGACCCAAAGTGGTCCGACCCAGATTTGTGCCCTGCTAGTTTCATCTTTGGGCTTTCCAGGTTTTCAGCTTTTAGGCCCATCGTTTTTACTTTAATACACCCCTAAATCACTCTTTTTTTATTTACTAGATAGAATTCTTGCTTAATGCTTTGTTAAAGTTCTAGTTAATATTTTTGTTAAAAATTCTAATTACCATTTTGTTAATAATGCTTTTTATTATTGATGTTTAGTTAACAATTTTTAATAATTTTTGTTAATTTGTTTTGTGTAAAAAAAATCTTTGTTAAATATTTTGGTTAGTTTTTTTAATTGCTTTTGTTAATAATTTTGTTACCTTTTGTTAATTATCTTTACTAATATTAATTAGTTACCTTTTTTTTAATGTTTGGTTTCAATTAACTTTTATTTATTTATTTTAGGAATATATTTTCCTATTTAATTTATTTGTTAAAACAAAAAATCAAATATTTTCTTCAATTAGTTTTATAGTTTAAAATGTTTAGATTTTATTTAGTTAGTTTTATTATTGATTCAACCACTAAGTTTGTGAGTATATGACTTAGGATAGTAGTGATTGAACCCATTTGAGCTTAATTTTGATTTTTATTCTGACTATAGTTTTGCTTATAACTTGTGCTCACTTTTGCTGTCGTATTATTTTTTTTTTGTGCCTAATTCTATTTTGTGTCTGGTACTTTCATGACTTGATCCTATTTTCTCGTATTATTTGTATGTGCCTCATTCTAAAGAAAATGTCATTTTGTTGACTGATAAGTCATGTTTGATAGTCTTGTTCCTCTTTCCCCCGAGACCTTGTGAGAGTCTTACTTGTTGTAACTTAGAATTAGCTTAGAGTTGGTAAAATCTATGTGAGTATCATGGTTATGAGTACTCAATTTCCCCTTTGACTTTGGTTAAAGTCAACCCTAGTTAGGATTTTCAACTTTGACTTAGGGAGTTGGTTAACATCGTGTAAGTATCATGGTTATGAATGCTTACTTCCCCTTGGAACCTTGACCACAGTCAAGAGTTCCTTATCCCTAGTTAGGTGAACTACGGTGGCTCTGATTCCCCTTTCCTAGTTAAGATACGTAGGCATAAGATTTGACATCTTGTCGAGCTCTCTAACCACTAACAACTAACACTTAACTCCCTCTTTTTGGTCTGGTTAGAACCAATTGGTTTTGCAACTGATAATTAGGTTAGATTTGCTAAACTCTATCTGAGTATCATGGTTATAAGTACTCATTTCCCCTTTGACTTTGGTTAAAGTCAACCCTAGTTAGCATTTTCAACTTAGACTTAGAGAGTTGGTTAACTCTATGTAAGTATCATGGTTATGAATACTTACTTCCTCTTGGAACTTTGACCATAATCAAGAGTTCATCATTCCTAATTAGGTGAACTATGATTGCTCTGATTCCATCTTAGTCAGGATACGTAGGCACAAGATGCGATATCTTGGCGAGTATACTTTGTATATACCCTAGGTTTTTACCTTAGCACAGTTCCCTTAGTGAGCAAAGTTTAACATAACACAAACACTAACAAGAGGTTCATGTAGAGTACTACAGATACTTAGGATGCTAACACCTTCCCTAGGTATAACCAACCCCCGAACCTTAGATCTCTTAGCTTCGTTGTTACATAGCGCACTTAGGTTTTTCTTCAATCTTTACCCTTTCTTTTAGATAAATCAAAGCTCGATGGTGAACTTCAAGATTTGTGATTCAAGTTAATTAATAGCTTGATATCCGATTCTCACCGCAACAGAAATGGCGACTTCACTGGGGAACCCTTAAGAGGGTTAAACCCACCTTGCTTGCATTTGTGTTTGTTATATGTTTGCTTTCCTGTATATCTGTATATTTATAACTATCTGTATATATCTGCTTGTGCTTGGGTTTTCTGTATGCAGGGTTGTTATCTTGAGTGGTGAGATAAGTCTTAACCCGGACTTGAGAGTACACCTATGATAGGATTATGATATAATCAATAGTTAGCTGTTGGGAGTAGTTCTAACATGTATAGCATATGGTAACCATGCCCAGTGGAGGCCCCTTTGAGATTACTAATGTCTGATACGAGTAGTCGTATTGGCATTACTTTTTCCGACCTGGGAGTCCGTGAATCTGAGGAACTTTAGTTTACCCTTCACCCCTCTATGCCTTTTAGGACGTAGTGCAGTGATTGTCCAGGTGTACACTTGTGATGGTTGTCATGCGATACTACACTCAAACGAGTTTATCTTGAGAATATTATTAGCCTATGAGTAGTCGTGTAAGCTGATAATATCCTAAAGATTTATCAATGACTCTGGGAACTTGTTAGAACAGGTTGTGCAGGAACATACCCACAATACATACCTTTTGGGATGGGTAGACCATGGCTCCACGCTCATGTTCTTCAAACCTAGGCCTTTGTTTGTTTGCCTGTACATATCTGTATACATGTGTTTGTGTAGCCATAC